CAAGATATTTGTCAAGTGCTATAGTCAGAGGACCCAAATACTAGTTGTCATGCACAGGCACAATATTCTCGTATCGGGCGGCATTCTTACTCGCTCTCTATACGGAGCCAAGGAATTACACCCTTCAATTAAGTCACATCGAGCAACCTTTCTCTACACACCGGACATATACGCGAGATTTGGTCCAAAACTAAGTGTCCATGTGTATGGTATTTGTTTAGTCTATATAGTATGCATTGATACTATAATCCCTCTTCTTTAATTCAGATCCAAGGTCAGAGGACCGGATCACGGTGGTCAGGCCAGGTCGTTGGGACATCCCGGTCTTTTCTTTGTATTTATTTGTAAGATGTATCTTAAATATAATAAAATATAGTAGTTTAACAGAGAATATTATGCGTGCGCATAAAATTGTATATAATCAATGTATTGTTTCTCTCTCTCTCTCTCTCTCTCTCTCTCTCTCTCTCTCTATCTATCTATCTATCTACTTACCTATCATTTTTATTCTTTGTTCTTAAGCAAGACAAAATCTAAATATTATCGGCTTTTTGACTAATTACAGTAAGTTGTATAAACGCCTTGATCGTTTCGCTTTGTATACATTTTCATTTTATTAATTATATTATTTAGTCAGTTTCAATCTATTGTTTAAATGGAGAGGACACGATAAACAAAAAGTTCATTTTGTTTTTGTTTCAGAAATGAAAAAGTAAGTATAAAGAAAAAATATGGGCCATTTGATTATTTAATTGAAAAGGTCGATAATTTTAAAATTGTACAGACTAATTAGATTAAAGACCTTGCATTGCTATAATAAGTTTAATCTATTAAGAAACATAAATATAAATATGCAAAAACTGTTGTAAGTGTTTAAATTGGTATTTTATAATTGGCAAAAAATACATATTTAAAATATTCAAGATGCTAGTTTTCTTTGAGTTATTGGGTTGTCCGGAAAATAATGCAGGATTTTAAGTTTTCATTAAAAAAAATCTATATAAAATATTCTGTTTACGTTTACAGGATTACTCATTTGTATNTGGGAAATTATTTTGATTAAAGAACATTGCTTTAAAGTAACTAGTTTCTTTTTTTTTGTTTAATACCAAAATCCTGCATTATTTTCCGGACAACCCAATATTAATCACATTATCTCATAATACATTAGGTATTGTAACACACAGTCGTAATGTGCACATAAAAACGTTTATAAAATTAGGAATTAGCATTGGTATGAACTTGCAATAACACGGCAGCGTTCACAATTCATTCATTAAGCAGACAATTTCACGGCGCGACCATTATGCTAAACCATCATGACTCGGAGTTCTTGCAAGACTAATGAACTGAGCGCCGTGATGGTTTTGAAGTCCTATCAGCAAAAAAAAAACAAAAAAAACAACTAATAAATAAATAAAAAAAATAAAAAATAAAAATAAATTAATAAAAATATATTGCAAGCGTGCAAAGAAAAGAGAGGAAATAAGAAGAAATATTGACAGAAACAATTGTAGTTAAGGGGTACAATTTTTAAGTTTATCTTCCTCTAAATTATTTTTCTCAGCAAAAATTATATAAATTATAGCAAAGTACGAAAATAATTGAATATATTTTTTCAGAGCACAAAGAACACTTAGATGTCCAAACGGTATTTAATTGATTACTTCTAAGAAATAGACACGAGTTTTTGCCATTTATACTTGTCCATTTTCACTGTGTAAATTACTCGGTTGCCAGAAGTCATTAAGCGACAGAAATTTAATCTAGCATCCCTATTTCTCTTTTTACATAAACGGCAAAGGAGAAAATTAAAGTATTAACTATATAAATAATTAATCCTCAGCACTTGTGAGGTAGGAAAACAAAAACTTGTATGTTGTGTTTCATAATTTTAGGGGGCAGAATACCTGTTCGTGTTTTGCTTTGCAAAGATAACGAAACTTTCTGAACATTAGAGATGGGGGTTGGAATGTGGGCACCGAGTAACAATGATAGATTGGCAGCAATAACTGTGAAACCCAAATGTTGTAATTCACCCCGAGATGAGCTTGCATTTGGCGGGATTGGAATGGAATCGCTTTTATGTGAAAACGAATCGGCTAATCTCATTACATCAACTCGACCGATTCAATGCAACTGTGAAGGAAAAGTGGTTTGTGTTAGTGCAATTGGAGTAGTTTTCATTCAGGCTAAAAGTGTTCAATGCGGCGGAAAAAATATTTGCATTTTTATTTGAGACGTTTTGACCTTTCACCAAATAAGCACAAGTAAGCACTGCTTCACGCTAACAATAAAAACTGACGTTAAAACAGGAAAGGATTTTTGTCTTCGGTGAACAAATGAAGCTTTTATCAAACTAAAATAAATTCGTTTTGGAGATTTCGGGCAGGGTTATGCAAGGTGATGAGACTAGTTTGATCGTTACATAATATCAAAGAGCATACTACCTGACAAAATATCACACAGGCTCAGCTCGAAAATGTCGGGAAGCTGAAACGAGTATGACCAAAACAACCGAAAATAGGAAAGAAAAAACCAAATTGATAGATAACTACCACAGAAATATTTCCGGTTGCAAATATGTTAAATAGCTTTTTTAAATTAGAACAAATAATTTCATTAATAAACTGTTTTTCAGGTGACGAGTTGCGTTTTTTGGGTTGTAGCTTGAATTTCAAACATTTTGATGATATTATAAAGAATAAAAAGTATTCGTTATTGCCTGTCTTCGATGACACACTCAATCTCGTCATCTCTTTTTTTCATGCGGTACATTGAGTTAGGCAATAATCTTTAGAAATGATATTGCATAGTGAATAAAGTTGATATGAATAATGAGTGACAGGTTTCCATTCTGCAAATATAAATTGACTCAATCCCGTTATTTTTATCTACCGTGTTACATTTTTCTGTTGTAATTTATTTATATTGTGTTTTCGTAATACTGCCATTGTTTTGACTATGTAACTTTAATATTTTCAAAGCGCATTAATTGTGGCTTTTCTATTTATCAAAGAAATTTCAAGTCATTTTCATTTAAAAGCAATATAAAGAAAACAAAATTGCATTTACATATTTATCATATTATTTATGTGTGTCTGTTTTTGCTGGAAAACCCTTTATCAAATTAGTTACGGGTTTAATCCCATTTTCTAAAGATTTGGATTCTGGAGAATAATGACTATTCCTGGTGGTCGTGATGAAGGTTCTCCTGACACCTGCCATGTGCCATTTGCTCTAAACCATCTTGTTCTTGTTTGTTAAATTAGATCTACAAGGTAGTTGGTTTAACTTGTCATGTTTTCCTTTTTGCACCTGTTTATATGAAACATGTAATTATTTAAATAAATAAGTAAAATCCAACTCGCGATGCCCCGTTAGCAATGTATTAAGGAATGTTTGCATTTACATTCACGAAATTACATTTGAAATTCACAAGGGTGAACGGCTTATATTTACATTTCACAAATTGGTGAATCTGGTTTTGAACTGACAGAAAGTTTTCGAAAACGCAATTTATCTAATGAACTGTTACAATCATAGCTGTTAATAACAAAGTTTACTGTTTTTAGCTAAATTTTTTCAGATAAAAGTTATTTCCAGATTAATTTTATTTTCTGTTTACTTTTTTCTCGTCAGCAGCGCGGTTTGCTATAAAAAATATTTGAAATCATGACAATAAATTTTTTATTGTTGGAAGAGAGTTAAAAATTGGTCTTGCAATATTTTAAAATATGGCAAGCACTTTTTCTATTCCAGAATTACTTGTTAAACATGGAAAAGGGCTCGTTCGAATATATTATGAATAGAATTCAATTGCAAATTTCTTAACTCAGACCTGCCTTTGAGCGTCTGATGAGCCGAGTCTCTTTCTTGAGAGTTCTAATAATGTAAATAAGAAGAAAGTTGCAGAGAAACTTCCTCTCAGTTTTCTCAAGTTAAAATTACTAGTATTGTCATCGCCTTGATCTTACAAATTCAATTCAAATTGCGTGAGGGAGTCGTGAATAATATTTTATACATTTATGTAAGTTTACTTTCTATCACTTTGCCTTCTCTTCCAGTTAGGCTTGTGTACCGAAATATTTTTCGCTTGTTTAACATCGGGCAACGATATTAACGAGTTCAAACTTCTCGCCTTGTCGACAATTATTTTAATCATTTTGCATTTTTGAAGTTATTACATCGATGTTGCGTTAATTCGACATGGGTAGCCCAATTACTTGTTTCAACATACTGCTGGGCGACACCTGTTTCACATTGTCGGCTTGCATGCATTCAGGTCTGATTAATATTCCAAAGCATGAGACGGCCTGGATGTAACTTGAATTACGAGTAGTAACTTCCATGATGTACGGGGCTTCACCCCTCACTCCATATCGCTGATTAGTGGGGTGAGGTTCGACTGTAGATCTTCCATCTTTGATGGAAAGCCATTCTGTTCGTCTGAAAGATTCCGATTCCTAATCGCAACGATTTGGCCGGCCATTATTCTCATTATGTTCAACTCTACTCCATCACAAGTTTAGAACCATATTTTTTCCAGACTGTTATTACGAGAGTGGAATATTTGTTAGGATAGCGTATAATCTATTTTTTCATACACAAAATGATATATAAGTCTTGTATCAGATGGATGAAACTTTACTCATGATTTTTCTTCATTTTCTTATGTAACAGTATCCAAAAGTAAATTAGGAATAAAGTACAATACTAACTGTATTATTGAATATTATTTTATTGCACGTTGTCATTTTAAAAACCCGTCAATTCTCGCGATGACTTTTTTCAGGTGATAAATATCCAAGAATTTAGCAGATTAAGAGATCTCATCTGTAAATTGGAATTATGTCGAGATGGATCTCACAAAGAACATGCCTACTAGATATAATCAATTTTGATCTTCCTGTGATCAAATATTTATGTAATAACATTAATACATGTATATAAGGTAAATTATTAATCAGAAATAGTAGATCAATTTCGAAAAAAATTACCCTGTATGTATCCAAACTGGCAGTTGAGCAGGTAAGAATTGCTTCTCTTCCCAAAGCAACAGTAACGTTGGCAATGGACGAAATGAAGTAGGGTTCTTTATCTGAAAAAACAAAACAAAAACATTCTTTATTAATATTTATTATTCATTTGTATTGAAACAATTTTATAACAAATATGTATATNTAAATATATATATTTCAACAGTGTATTGTTGACAGAGTAGAAAGGAGAAATGTACCAGTACACATTTTTATTGGTTGATATGTACATTAGAATTAATATTTTTCATTATAACGTGTTTCGTGTGGAATAACCCGAAACAAGTTTTATTAAGAAAGAATTTAAACAAAATATTTGAATGAAACGTTATAAAGGCTGCTCAACCTTGACTGAAAAGCAAACAGAGTTATTAATAAAATTTAGGTTTACTTTAATTTCCCTTTCAAAGTTGATTTATCAGCAAAATTTCTTAATGGTGAGATTGCTTTTTTATCCAGGCAAGTGAGGGTATTGTACAATTTAGGAAGTACGCCGGCATTTGTAATCATACAAAGGACATGTGACCGACTTCCTCATTAAATTGGGCTGAGTCTATTTATTCAACAAACAATTTTCGTACGGTATATCTCAGAGAAGTTCTAAGAATGCTGACAATGTAAGCAGCTTACCTGGCTCCCACAGAAATAAATTATTCATAAGAATGCGAAACAGAATAGCAAAACAAAAAGAAGAACGTTTTGCATCAACCGAGAAACTTCTCATAAGGTCCGGGAGAAAAGGATAGCGAGATATTTGAAATTCCTTCCAATCGTAATTGATTTCTTCATGTCTGCATAATTCTACTTGGACAATTCCAAAGAATTTAAATTTTGACAAGATAAAGAACAACAATTTTCAGTATAAATTTTCAACGCTTTATTTTATTACAGTTGATTATTTTGAAAGTGTGATCAGTTTTAATAGTGAATCAATATGTATTATTTTCCTCATTCATAAATTCATAGAGCCTACTTATTTCCATAGGGAAAAAATAGAAGTACTAGAACAAGATAACCTTACGGCTTTATTATTTACCGATAAAATTGTGAACGCAAAAAGGAATTGTGTTATGCTTCAGAAAGTCAATACACAATTTTTATTGTTTTTAATTATATCACCAAAACATCTTAAATTTATGACTTTTTACAAGCAAAAGCGCATGCATTTCAGAGATTTTTTGATGCGCTGGGCTGTGTTCTGCCTCTTTTCAATATTTGCATCTGTTTTTTTGGTAAATGCCAATTTTTCTCATGTGCTCATTTAGTCCACTGTGTCCCATCAATGATCTTATTTCAGATTTTTTACTGCTTTCTTTGATGCATTCTATAGTTTCCTTAGCAATATCACAAAAAAGTTGTTGGATTATTTGCGTCCAGCAAGGGTTTCTATTGGTTCATCACTTTCACAATATCATTTTTCATAATATGCTCGTTATAAAGGAATTACAAAATTTGTGGGTTCAATTAACGGCGACGTAGGATCTTTTCTTGCTAGGTCAGCGTATCCTGGGACACAAGTAGTGATTGATGAGCTGATGGTATTTGAGATTAATGCTCCGATGGTTAGCTGGCTATCGTATATGTTATATATGTCTTTTTTTATCCTTTCCAGCTGAATGGAGTACATTTTTCTATTGCGTGGATTTCGAGTTGAAAGATATCGCAACCAAAGCTAACCCTCACCATGGCTCTGTGGCGTGCATAGCTGCGGGGCAAATTTTTGTGCTGACTGGCAGGACGAACGCTATAACAGACGGGATTGAAGAAGCGGATACGACCCTGCTGGGGTATATGCTTACTATATTGCACAAGGATCTAGGTATCAGCTGAATACATAACCATGGGTTTCGTCTGGCTTGCTGCGAATGAGAAATTTGAAAAACTGGGGGTTGCAGGACATCTTCATTGTTTGCTGTGATGCCCTGAATGGTTTCCTTGATATCATTGGAGCTGTTTATCCTCAGACCCTAGGACAACTTTGTATTGTACATTAGGTGCATAACTCGCTGCGCCATGTAGGGTGGAAAGAGACAAAGCAATTTGCAGTAGCCTGCGTAGCATTTACGATGCTACTTTGGAACCCCACCCTCTAAATCAAGGTATTGTACATATGGCTGGTTTTGTAGGCACATAGTCCTGCTCATGGACCTTACTGTAAATCTTCCTCGACTGAAGGTTTTCATTTTTTGGAGATTTTTATTGAATCCAATTATATTGTTCATGTCGTCTCTTAGAGCTCTGATTATCGGATATTCTCTCAATAGGATTAGGATAAAAACTTTTATTACGTAAAAACACTTACTCGATAAAATTAGTCGTATTGTTGTCCGTGTTCGTGTTCTAGTCATTTCACATTTCGCTTTCTTTTTAGTCAAACTACGCATTTTTACATTTACTCCTTTAATTCTAGAGTTGTTTAAAGGCAGAATAATGTCCTGAGTTTGTAGAGGATTCGACCTCAAAGTAAGACTTGTAAAAAAAAATAGTTTAATCCTTTCTTCTCGGTAATGCAATATTCTTAAACACGAGGCACATACCATTGAAAGAGCTCCTATGTCGCATTAAATCAAACACGAGCTTTTAACCGCCTGAGGCACTCGGGCCAGATTTACAGCAATAATTAAATAATACAAGTTACCTCAGTTCGCCTTTGCGTACAAAGAGCGGCAAGAAATCAAATGAAGGCCTTAATTAAAATATATGAATTTACAAACCATGATATATCAAATATTTTTGGCTTTAAATTTGACAAAGGTTCGGCTAGAGCCAAATGTAGGGTAGCAATAAACGGAATAATTTAATTTTCGAAGAAAGCAATCAAATTTGACTAATTATTGTTAATTTGTTCGTGAAGAACCCAACACTTTAACATGTCTACTGCGTCCGACGATGGAATATATCCTCACAGTAAAATATAAACCTTTTTAATACTTGTTGAACTGAACAACATTAATTATCTTTCTTAGTCCGATAATGTTCCTTGAAATAGTTGAAAACAGTTCTATACATAAACCTCTTACCATTAAAAAACAAAACAATGAGTATTAACAAACCTTTGTCGATAGATTGGTAGTAGAAAGACAAAAAATTAGCCTTAAAAGAAGCAAAAATTAAACTAGGCCACCCCACACCAAATGAAATAGGTTTTCGTTCTTGGTCACATTGGTTGAAAAAAAAACGAGGAGGATTCAAAGTAGCTTATAGAGGTGCCTGCACAATTAAAAACGTACTTTTGAAAGTCTTCCAATTTCTGAGAAGAACCGTTCTTTTGAATTATTGAATGATATACTCACACCAACATAAACATTTCTACTTTCATGGTGTCTTCTATATTTTATCTTGTTGAATGACAGTTTTTCAAAAGTTTTGTTTTTTGTGTTTATATCTTGAATCTTATGCTGGGTTAAATTGCTAGTAAAGCTTTTATTGTTCGCATTGCTGTTTTTAGTATTGCTTAGAAAAGCAGACACACTGGCCAGACGTCGAATTGCAAGACCATATATAAGCCCAAAACCTATTATTTGGATAACATAAACACACAGAATCCTTCATCACAGAATGGATCCAAAAATGACAAAAGGAAACGTCTAGACGCAGCATATTCTAAAAAATCCTCAGCAAGACTCAACAACACACTGCTGAAGTTAGGGAGGGCTAAACTCAGACAAGTGAAAGGCCTATTTACCGGTCTAGTCTGAGAAAACATTTTTACTACATAGGAATATTCAATGGTGATCTCATTTGTAACTTATGGAATGGTATGGAAGAAACTGCCACCCAATCATCTTCGAATACGAAGCAACCGTTCAAGAAGACATAAACTGGGATATGGTATATTAAATCGACAATGGTCATTTTCTGGATCCGTATCAATGTGGATTATTTTCCTGATTCGTAACTTCATAGAGCCTAGTTATTTTCATAGGGAAAATAGACGTAAGAGCAAGATTACCTTATGGCTTTACTATACACCGATAAAGTGGTGAACGCAAAAAGGAATTTTGTATTATGCTTCAGAAAGTCAATATACAATTTTAATTGGTTTATGCGATTGGCTATGTTCTGATGAACCACGCATAGCTGAAACGTTTGTCTGCGGAAAAATACTGGCAATAGCTTCTGGAAAGACCTTTAATCCGTCAACACAAGCGATTAAAATATCTTGCACATAGAGGTTATGTAGGGATGGTTAGGAGTTAATTTAAAGTGGTAAATGCCAATTTTTAATGGTAAATGTCATCAATGATTGTTTCGGATTTTCTTACTGCTTTTTGATGCATTTTATAATTTTCTTAGCAATATCACAAGAAAGGCTGCTGGATTATTTGCATCTGGCGAGGGTTTCCATTGGTTCATCACATTCACAATGACATTTTTCCTAAAATTCCTTTTCCTATATACAGAAAAGCTAAATAAACTACCCAAAATCCTCGTTATACAAAAATAACAAACTTTTTGGGTTCCATTAACGAAATTGTAACATGGCGTTTGATGAGGGCTGACTTTGTCGAACTTACTTGAGAACTTATTTGCCGAAACTTTCCATTTAAAATCAAGTCAGCGAGATCCAGAAAAATGATAGTGTTGATCAATAAATTCCACTGATTTTATATTATTATTAACTTTTAAAATGCTCATAATAAAAATAAGTGTTTTTATTATGTCAGTAAATAAAATAAACAGCAACAACCCAGTATAATTTTTCTCCAAAAAAGGGTAAATATTTGAGACTAGACTAAAAAATAGTACACAAGGAAAAAAGGACACCCTGTAGATGAGCCGAGATATGTGATCATCGTCGATCAGTCTCGCATTCTTCCATTCCAGACCAACCATCATCACCAACGTTCAGGACAGTTGATATGTAACATTAGCCAATATTAAATTGATACCAATCTATTGGTACCACCAAATTATAAATGCAAGGAATAATTTTTATTTAACAATGTCCTCTTCTTATTTAGAAAAACACTGTGGAAAAGCGACACATTAAAGCTCCCCGGGGTACCCTTTGTAATACTCAGTAACAATGATTTCTTTTGAAACGTGAAAATAAATCGTT